CACACACACAAATAAATAAAATTTAAAAAAAAAAGAGAGAGAGAGAGATTTTCAGTCATTCCAGTTACCTCAGGGCCTTTTCACTTTTTTTTTTTTTTAATTTTGCTATGAGCTTAACCTTCCTCCAACAGAGAGCTGCTAATGCTAGGAAGTCAGCCACAAGCCCACAGCTTCTGCGGCATCTTCACACTGTCTGTCCGCTGCCGTGGGCCACCCACCAGAGTTCCCCACTGCTGCGGCCTCTTGGCAGAACTTTCCAGATCCCTCTCACATTTATTCATCCGGTGGGGTGTATGGCTGCAGTCTTTGGACAGGACTTCTCTCTTCACAGAGAGCTGTACTGCCAGTCATAGTAAGCAACACTGGAGTGGTGCCATGAACAACAGCCTGAGACCCCTGCATGCCCAGGCCCTGAGATTAATTGTAACCTTCACTGAAATGCTGAGGCAGCCAGGCGTGGTGGTGCTCACCTGTAATCCCAGCACTCAAGAGGGAGGCTGCAGCAGAAAGATCTGTTGCAAGTTCCAGACCAGCCTGAGCTACAAAGTGAGCTTAAGGCCAGCCTGAATTGTATAGCAAGACACTGTTGTTCCTTTGAGCTTTGTTCCTAATTTTCAAAAGAAGCTAAGTAATATTTATCAATGTGTTTATGTATGTATTTTTTTTTTTTTCTGGAATCAAGGATTGAACTCAGGCACTTGAGCTTGCCAGGCAAGTGTTTATTCTACTGAGCCATCTCCCCGGCCCCACCATTTTCTTTTTTATATACATGTCCCTTAACCCAAGAGTGATGTTATCTCCTTCCTTAAAAAAAAAAAAAATTGGCTAGATCAATAAGACTTATAGACTTATATTTATATATCTGATTAACAGATTTAATCAGTTGCAAATAAGAGCGCCTGTGGAGGGCCTGAGGCCTCTGCTCTCTGTGGGCAAGCACCAGCCCGCCCCTTCCCACACAAGAGGAGCTTGGCCTGCCATTTGCCCTAGGTCTAATTTTTGTAGGACATGTATAGATTTCTGGTTATTTTTCCTTACCCTTGGACTTGAAAAGAATTCATCTGTGAGAGGCTGGGAAAATCCAGAAGAGGCCGTGAGGGTTTCTTTATCTAGGCGGAGCCCTGCTGCTCCTCGCCTCCTCCCAGTCTGAGGGCCTAGTCCTCAAGTCCTGGAGCTGACAGCCCAGCCCAGCCCTGCCCCCTGGTGTGCGGGGTTCCACTCTCCTCCTCCATCCTGAGTCCATGACGCCCAGGAGGGGGCGCTGTTCCCCTTTTGGGACCTGGGGCGAAGCAGCAGGATTTAGGCCGCAATGAATTCTCTCCCCCGACTTCTCCTCCAGCACCAGTACCTCCACCCTCCCCGCAGAGCAGCAGGCCCCGCGCTGAAGGAAGGGCTCCGGCCAGGGCATGGCTCAGTGGTAGACTCTCCCTACCTGAGACCCTGGGTTCAATCCCCAGCGCACACACACGAAAAGCAAGCGCTTCTCGTACTAGAAATTACCATCTCAGTAAGATGGGAGAGGTAGCAGGGAAGGGTGAGGAGCTGCTGTAGGCTTTGTCCTCATTGTGGTAGCTTTCTAAATTCAGCTTTCTCAATTTGCTCAGTGAAACTTAGACTCCAAGAAACAGATTTAAGATTAAGTCAACAAAGGACCCATTTAAAAATCAAAATACTAAACAGGAGCCCAGCTTTGTAGGTCCCAGTGCCCCAGCCCTCCCCATTTCCTCCTTTCTTTGAATCAATGTCCCCAGAAACCTAATCCCGTGATTGCTTGGTGATTTCTTGCATCAGAAACAATAGCAGAGACTGCACTGCTGCACCTGAACTACTTCATCCAGGACACACTGAAGCCTGAGATTTGTGTGTGCCAGAGAAGGCACCCAGTGAACGTGGAGCTCCAACAAATTCTCTGCCCCTGAGCCAGAGTCGGCTGCACATAAGTTACTTTTCAGTCTTCTTGCTGTGACATATTAGAACCTGGCTGGATCAGGTGGCTAGGGTGTGGCTAGGCAGCTCTGAGAAGGCTGAACACATCAGTTTTACTTTTTTCTTTCAGGTTTTTTTGTTTTGTTTTGTTTTTTGTCTTTTTGAGACAGGGTCAGAGTAGGCAATTCAGGCTGGCCTTGCATGCACTTTGTAGCCCAGGCTGGCCTTGAACTTGCAACCATGCCCCTGCTGCAGCCTCCCAAGTGCTGGGATTACAGGCGCGTTCCCCCTCCAGGCTCTTTCAGTTATTTGAAAGAGAGTCTCACTGTGTAGGACTCACTGTGTACTCCAAGCTGGCCTCCAACTCATGCCAATCCTCCTGCTTTAGGATTATAGGTATGCTGGGATTATAGGTTCATGTTCACCTTTAAACTCACCTTTAGTTTCTGCAAGGGCACCCTCCTGAAGTGCTGTCCCAGAAAGCCCACAACAGATCCAAGCCAGGCCAGTGAGAGTGAATGATTCACCTTCTTGTTGTAAGAATTCCAATCTCTCACTGATTTAAAAAATCACAGGTTCACACCTTTTGGCTAAGATCAAATGTGTAAAAAATCACAGGTTCAAGGCTTAAAGATTTAGGCGCACACTAGCCTGTTTCCGCAGGCGCAGCAGGAGAGGTTCTCTGCTTACTGCCGTGTAGGTAGGAGGATGGAGCGCCCTCTGAGGCAAGCTTGCCGCACCGTGGGACCTGGCTCCTCTCACCGTAATGCTCCGTCTGCTCCATTTTCCAGCTCAGTGGCACCAGCAGATCCCACCACCCATGTCCATCCGGCCCAGTGGCAGTCGCTACGGATCTCTCACCAGTAAAGGACTTGACATTTTTTCTGCCTTTTCCTCTGTGGAAAGCACAAGGGTGTATTCATGCTCTTCTAGTGTCGTGGAGAGCGATGAACTTTAAGGCTTCCCCGGGTGCCTGTGGCAGAAGGGGTGGACTGTGGAGGGAGGAGGACGACGAGCTGGACACAGTGGTTTCCAAGGGCTTGAGGGGGCCCCACGCCGCAGGACCTGTGCCGATGGAGCTTTGGGTAAGCTGGCTGGGCTCCCTTGCACTCTGCATTGCAGGAGGGCTGCAGGGCTGTGCCTCTGGAAGCGTCCAACAAGATGTGAGCCCACAGTGTCACCCCACTGCCATCCCCCGCCATGGGGGACCAAGAGGGGCCTGGTTGTTATGGATGCTTATGCTCTCTAGGAGCCATGAGGAGCCATGTGTCTGGGCAGAGCTGAGCTGGACAATAAAGACTCAGGCTGTAACCAATTCACTGGCAGTCGAGGGACATGCTGGGGAGGTTACTGTCACCTTTTACCAGTTTCACCTACAGGAGTAGTTTCAGCGGCTTCATCACATGAGCTTCCTCTTAGCATAAGAGGTGGTGGCACTCTGCTCAGACCTGAGGTGCAGCACTTTTGATTTGCATATCCTGGGTGTATAGAGCCATGTGATAAGGTGCCAGAACATCTTGAGATACGAAAAATCAGTGAAACACTCAGTATTGCAGTGCACCTATTCTGTGGTCACCACAGGGCCCCAACTGTCGGCACCATTTCCTTTCCGTGGTGACTGGCTTTTCTTCTTTCTGATTTCTAGACTTCGGAACTAAAGAGTAGCTATTAAGCCCAACAGAAAAAAATCTTCAGAGTCACTTTTCAAATGACCACCTCCAGGTGGCACTGGCAAAGCATGCAGTCTCATCACCATCTGCCCACAATTCTGTGGGCCAGATGCTCTGCCCCTCCCCAAACCCGAAGTGCAGAAGGAAGGCGGGAGAGGTGCGGACAGGCAGTGATGGGGGAGCGTTGGTTTTCCCTCCCTCTGCAGAGTAGTGGAAAGAGAAGGCCTTAGCAGCTGCCAGCCGCTTTAATACTGTTGATCAAATTGCATTTTCTACATAGAAAACAGTATGCTAGCTAGGAAGCAGAGGGAAAGGGGAACAAGCTTCTTTGGTCCCCTGTACCTATTCACAACCCACCTCTCATCGTAAGGGACTTTAGATCTCACCCAGTTCACAGCAACCCCCTCATGCCCAGGAGAACACCAGCACACTGTAGCCATTCAGGAAATATTTGCTGAAAGCACCTTCAACAACATCTTCAAGTCCTGCCCCAGTCCAAACACTGCCCAGCCACAGCTGCCGTGGCACGGTTTGCTCCAGCTCGCCTGATGCAGCCGAGATCCTGCTACCAGTTGCCTCTGCACAGATCCCCGCATTCTGTGTGCCAGGCCCCTCAGCTGGCACCTTACATAAGCAAGTGATTTAGATAGAGATAGTAAATGCTTGGTAAGGCTTGAAAATAATTTCTTTGTTTCAAGACAAAAGTTTCCAATATAAAAATAAATTAATTCATTCAAAAAAAAATCATGTGTCTACTCTATATAAGGTGTTAACGCCAAAGCCTGTGGGGAATACAAGGGTGTGACCAAGACAGTTCCTGCCCTCAGGGAGCTTAGGCTGTGACAGATGGGATGCTGCTGCTAGAGACAAAGATGTGTTCCTAGCAGACACAGATTTCTAGTGATCGTCCTGTCATCTCACAACTTTAAAAATCTTGTTTTCAGTCTTGCTTAATGTAACAAGCCAGAGGTCATGTCATTAGATGCCAGGCATTAGCCAGCAGAATTATTTGACTTGCTGCTTTTCCATGTACAGGCGGCTTGAATGCAATGGCGAGTCCTATGAAGGACCTGCATCTGTGGGAAGCACCCGGCAACTCTGAGCTCAGTTCTGGGTTGTTCACCTGAACACCTGGTTGCCCTAACATCTCGGTGCCCCGTTGTTTTTGTTTTTTCCTTTTTTGGCAGAACCAACCGGGGATTGAACTCAGGCCCTTGCGCTTACCGGAGAAGTGCTTATTCTATTGAGCCATCTCCCCAGCCCCATGGGGGGGGGCACCGTTTTCTGAATGTCTTCCCCCTCCCCTCACCCACCCCCTTATACAACTAAGATAAATGCTATATTTGGACACTAGATGACGCTGTCTCACTCAAAATATAGCGAGATGAACCATCCCTGAAATTTGAGCTGCTGGTTTGTGTTAAAGCAGGGCTTCTGGGCCTCAGGACTGTTGAACACCGGGTGGCGGGGTGGGGGCATGGGGGGGTCCTGCGGGGAGGACGCTGACCCCGTGCTCTGGTGGACCTCTGACAGCTGCCCTGTCTCCCCGAGGGATGCCTCCCTGCCTAATGCCCCAGCCGTGCCTTGAGTTCTGGGGAGACATTAGCCTTTTGCTGAAAACTGCTAGGTTAAACAAATTGGCACTCTGCTTCAAGAATTCTCGAAGAAGGGGCCGGGGAGATGGCTCAGTAGAGTAAGCGCGGGCCAGGGAGATGGCTCAGAGGAATAAGCACTTCCCTGGCATGTACAAGGGCCTGAGTTCAATCCCCGGTTCTGAAAAAGAAAGATAGAAAGAAAAAAAAAAGAATTCTCGGAGAATTCAACCAGAATGAGGAATATTTGGGTAAGAATGTAGTTCCATCGTGTATGTTTATTTTTGACATATCCAAAACCTGATTCGTCGTCTTTCCGTTCATAAACCATTCCTCAAACCAGCTTAATGAGTTCGAGCAACGGCACCAGCACATTCGGCAGAGGCCAAGTCAAAAACCTCCAAGTCACGAGCTGCTGCCTGCGTCCAGGAGTACAAAAGCCCCGTCGGTCCAGCGCTCTCTCCTCTTCCATCCGGACCTTCCTTTCCACCCCGCCGCCCCGCTGCGGACTTCTAGCGTCTGCATTTCCCTCTCTTCTGACTCACCGGTCCCAGATGCGGCCTCCTGCCCCTGGACCTGCACAGCAGCGCAGGTCCTAGCGCCAGACCGTTCCCCAAGGACTCTACGGGGAGATTATTCCCTAATTTTCAAATCCCTAATGGCTACCTCGAGCCAAACCATGTGGGTATGCGCTGTTCTGTCCTGGAATATTCAAGCTTGCTCTAGTACGATTCCAAAGCTTTTCATCCTGCTTCTCCCAGTCTCTACGGAGAAGCTTGGCCCAACCTCCCCACCTGCAGACACCCTTCCTGTTCCCGGTATTCCATCGCAAGGGCCACTGCCTCTGTGACGCATCTTCTGACTTCCCAGCTCCCAACCAAATAGCATGCGGTCTCTTCGGCCTTGTAGCGGGTTTCCGGGGTGCAGAGGGAGAGCCCTCGGCACAGCGTTTCACAGAGAGCAAGCCTCTCCACAGCTGCCCACCCACCCCTCGCCCAGGTGGACTCCTGCTTGCAGCAGGTTTTAGCTCACTCATCCCGAGTGAGCAGCGAAAGTGGGGACAAATCCTTTATTATCGTGAATTAATTACAGAATTTCCCCAAAACAGTCAGAAGGGCCACAGCTGACCTAAGCCCACGGGGCTGGCGTCCGGCAGAGGGTACAATTCCTAGGCTGCACACACAGTGCGCACCTGGAAGACGGAAATAAGCATATGCACTGCTTGTATTGGGTCCCACGTCTCTTGCTACACTCATTAGAACTGCAGCATTCTCGAAGCCCCCAGAGGAAACTCAAAGCCCTGTGAAAACAATCCAAATGCCATCAACCAAGGAATGACAAAAAAAAAAAAATAGTGTTTTTATACAATGGAGTATTACTCAGCTATTAAGAAAGGTAAACTCAAGGCTTATGTAGGTAAATGGATGCAACCAGAGACCATACTCAAGTGAAAAAAATCAGACACATATGTAAACATCGTATTGTGTCCCTAGGGTAAGAACCCAAAAAAGTAAATAAAATCCACAAGATACAATAGAAATTGTTAAAGGGAAAGAAACTGCTCAGAAGGAAAGAACAACTGGGATAAGGGGAAACAGCAAAGGGGGAAATGCACACACACTGGGGAGCTAAGACAACTGTGCCACTAATTTCTATTAGTTTAGTGAAAGGAACAGTTAGTGCTTACATTGTTTGATCAATTTTACAAGCCTGTATCTGATAATCTGGACAACTACTTTGAGGCTAACACTATACAACGTAATAACCACTTTTAATTTACTATTATCTTATTTTTGTTTGTTTGTTTGTTTGTTTTTGTTTTGTTTTGGGTTTTTTTTTTCTTTTATTTTTGCGGAACCAGGGATTGAACTCCGGCCCTTGCGCTTGCCAGGGAAGAGCTTATTCTACTAAGCCATCTCCCCGGCCCTATTTGTTTTGGGTTTTTTTGGTGGAACCAGGGATTGAACTCATTTCCTTGCGCTTTCCAGGAAGCGCTTAGTCCACTGAGCCATCTCCCTGACCCCTATCATCTTATTTTGAAGTTCTGTATTCAATGGGTTTTTTAAAAAATCTCTTTAAGGTAAAAAAAAGAGGTGGAATCCTATGATGGAAGGGCTGAGGTCCTCTGAAACAGGCCATTGTTTTCAAAATTTTCTTCTAGAACTCAGTACTGGATTTGACCAACTGACAAAAAACGTAACTGAGACTCCTAATATTGAGCCGTCTAGTTTGAGACTGCCCTGATTTTGTTACTTTATGGGCAATCTTTATCATTTCTGATTGACTTCTTCATCTTCGTTTGGTGCCCAAGCATCCACCAGGACATACCTACTTGGAGATTTTCTTCCTGAAATTTGGCTTGCTACAGATGAGCCCTGAGTCTACTGGCAGACCACCCCTTTCTTGGGCAGGTTAAAAAGTCCATAAAAGGTGCCCCAAGTAACCAGTGCAACTTTGACAAAGAAGAACAAATTTGGAAATGCTCCCTCTCTAATTTTTTTTTCTTTTTTTCTTTTTTCTTTTGGAACCGGGGATTGAACTCAGGCCCTTGCACTTGTCAGGGAAGCGCTTATTCTACTGAGCCATCTCCCCAGCCCCTCCCTCTCTATTTTAAAGCTTAATTCTGGCCTATAACAGTCTAAAAAGTGTGGTTCAGAAGCAAAGGACATGTGAAGCAGTAGAAAATTCAGTAATAAAAACTTCATGCACATGGCCCAATGATTTTCTACAGAGCACCAAAACCCTCCATGAGGAAAGGACAGTCTTTCCAACAAATGGTGCTGAGAAAATTGGCTATCTATGTACAAAAGAATGAAGTTAAACCCTTATCTTATACCATGCACAAAAATGAACTCAAAATGGATCAAAGATCTTAATGTAAAAGCTTAACAAATGAAACTCTAAGAAGAAAACACAGAAGGAAAGCTTGACAACACTGCATTTGTCTTCTTGAATATGGTGTCAAAAGCACAGGACACAAAAATAATCAACAATATGGTCTTCATCACAATGACAAACTTCAAAAAAATGAAATGATAGCCCACTGAAAAGGAGAAAATATTTGCAAATAATATATCACATGGATTAATATCCAAAATAAAAAATTCCTATAACTCAATAACTCAATACAATAACTATTGTAGAAAATAGTCTGACAGTTATTCAAAAAATTAATATCCAACATAAAAAATTCCTATAACTCAATAACAAAAAAACCTAGGGCCTGGGGAGATAACACAGTAGAATAAGCGCTTGCCTGGCAAGTGTAGGGTCCTGAGTTCAATCCCTGGTACTGCCAAAAAAAAAAAAAAAAACCTGATTCAAAAGTGGGCAAAGGCTTGAAATGAAGAAAAAGATATACAGATGTCCAATTAGGACATGAAACAATCCTCAGCATCACTAGTGATTAGAAGAAGACAAATCAAAGCTGTCAGATGTGATTCCATGCCTGGCAGCTACTGCCCATTACAACAAGGGTTGGCCCAAATGTAGAGAAATTAGAACTCTTGTGCATTGCTAGTGAGAAGTACAACAGTACATTTATTGTAGAAAATAGTCTCACAGTTATTCAAAAAGCTAAACAGATAACACATAACCCAGCAAGTCCTTTTATGGGCTTATGCCAAGAGGGGTTGAAAGAGGAGACTTAAAAAGAGACTTATACCCCAGTATTTATAACAGCATTGTTCACGCACCCCGAGATGCAGGACCCACCCAGGTGGCCAGCGGAGAGTGAACCATAACACAACGTGGTGTGTACCTACAATGTAACAATATTCAGTCTTAGAAAGAATGAAATTTTAGTACATGCTACAACATAAAGAACCTTGCAAATGTTATGCTGAGTGAAATAGACTAGATATGAAAGTTCAAGCCTTATACAACTGCATGTCTGAGGTTACAGTCAAATTTATTGAACAGTGGTTACAGAGCAGGGGTGGGAAGGAAAAGTCCTTCTCTTGAGAGTGATGAGAAGTTCTAAAAATGGCTGGAGATGACAGTTTCACCGTGTTGGGACTATACTTAATGCCACTTATACCCACAAATGGATCAAATGGTTAAATTTTTTTTTTTTTTTTTTTTTTTTTTGCGGAACCGGGGATTGAACTCAGGCCCTTGCGCTTGCCATGGAAGTGCTTAT